TTATCACAAAATTAAATTATAAATGTCTCAGATAAAAAAACTGATTAGTGAAGTTAAGAGAAAATCATATTTTAACAAAATTAGAAGCAAAACTTTAAGGCCGCCGAGGAGATTCGAACCTGGGATCTCAAATAATGCACGTTATTGTCTTTTAATAATTTAGGTATCGCATAGGTTTACCATGATTCATTTGCAGGATATAGAAATTATTGAGCAGAGCGTAGCGAAGCTCTTATCATTGACTTTATAACTTCTCTTATACTACACTCCTACTTTTGATTAATAGCATTGAGCATAATTTACTACAAAATTAATAACCATAAGGGTTGCCAGAATTAGGCTAATGCACCATATTGCGTTTGGATACTGTAAATAACTTTTACAGTATTTTATGTGAGCAAGACGTGCCATTAATGTAGACTTTGAATATGTACTGCAATTCCTATTTGCAGTGTACAAATAGGAATTCCATTAAGGTGAACCAAATATAACACTCATAGTTTCGATACTGCAATTACACAATTCGTTGACATGAACCCGACGCATAATTGACTTTAAATACTGCACATAGACATCCCATATAAGTGAATCAGAAGTAGGCCTAAGCCTACCATTGACTTCGGATACTGCAATTCGGCATTTTATTTAAGTGAACGAAATAAATGGACCATGATTTAGGATACTGCAAGTAGACTATTGATTTACATGTACCATTGAGTTTGGATACTACAAGTAAACAATCCGTCTACGTGAACCGGACGTACAATTGACTTTAGAATCTTTAAATTGGCATTCCATTTATGCGAACCAAATGTATCATTAGCATTGGTTACTGAAAGTAGACATTTAACTTATGAGAACCAGATGAAACATAGAATATGGTTCCTGCAAGTAGACAATTCATTCACTTAATCCTGACATATGATTGACTTTGGATACCTACTGCAAATAGGCATTCTATTTAAAATGCGAACCAAATATATCATTGACATTAAATTAATATGCTGGCTCCGCTCAATATTGCAAGCAGAAAACTGCATTGTACACCTAGTAGTATATCAAATTGTCCAGTATTTCTCACTTTTTCAATTGTAATTTTAAAAGTTACACCAACCAAGTATCGTCTACTACTGGTGCAATACGTCAAAGAATATCGTCTACGTGCAATCTCCAAGAAGTGGTAAAAAAGGCAGAAACCAACCCATACAATAGATATAAGTTAACTCTATAAGAAATAATTTTAAGAGTTACTGTGATATTAGGATTTTCCACTGATTTGGTAATAGAACATTATATTGCAAAACATGGCACGATTCAGAAGAAAATCGATTTTAAAATTAGAAAAAAACCATTGCAAATACTTCATTTTGACAAATTTAGTTAAATCTAAATCAAATCACAATTTAAATATTAACAGCTGTTTCATTCAAAAGCAGTGTAAATGTATGCATATGGTCGTAATGTAAACAAATCTGAAGGGGAACTTTAAATGCCTCTGGGGCAGAGCCCCAAGGGAATTTACCTTGTTTCTCTTTTGATGGCTCATCTACAGACTAAGACCTTTCTTTAGAGACCCCTACCAAGTTTCTACGCCCAGCCGTTCTCTGTAATTAGCTGTGACAAAACCCCGTTTTTCCTCCATAAGAATAACATGGGATGGGAATTTAAAGGCCACTGGGGCAGAGCCCCAAGGGAATTTGCCACGTTTCTCTTTTGATGGCTCATCTACAGACCAAGACCTTTCTTTAGAGACCCCTACCGAGTTTCTACACCCAGCCGTTCTCTCAAATTAGCTGTCACAAAGAAAAACAGTTTCAAATTAATATATAGATTAAAATCAGGTGTGATTATTTGTTTGTATTACTGTGTTCTGTTTTGTTTATTTCAGCTTAACTTAACCAATCAATAGTTTTATTCTGTGTATAGTCAATGGTTTTATTAAAACCTATGAAGTCAAACGGGGTGAAGGGATGAAGCCCGTGGGTAACAGCCAGAGAGTACAGAATAGAAACTATTCTGTGCTCTCTGGTAACAGCTAGTTGTTGTAGTTTTATTTTAGTACTAGCTGTGTGCCCGTTCTACGCACGGGGATCTTATCATAGTCAGTTAAAACATTCTTATATAAAGCACAGCAGTTGGTTTGCATACTTTCAGATATGCTGACAAAACTATTCCTTCGCAAATACAGTATCTGACAGTTTCAAGCCAAAGCTAATGCTTCGCAATTAAATGTCACCCGGATCTTGTTTTGGTCCATATGTTATATCCAATGATTAAACTAAATAAACGGTATCAGCATTCTGACACATACTTTCTCCCATAAGTTTGTCAACAACCTTTATCATGTGTAAGCGGTGAGAGTAAATATACGGAAATGGGATTTGTACAATTTTGTTCAGAATTTAAAGGACTATAACATAATGGTTAAAAGTAGGCCTATTTAAGGTACTACCTCAACCTCTTAATTTAACACTTTATTCGGGTTGACATTTTCATTATAAAGGCGCTCTTGTCCTTTCCGTGAAACATTGAGAAACAAGGACATTAATGCGTTACCATCATACATACACACAAAAATACCGAACTTAATTAGGGAATCTGCTACGCTTTAAGCATAAAAAGGTACATATAAAATTAGTACTTTAAATCTTTGTTAATGCCATAAAATTTGATCATAACAATTTATATTTGCTTGGACCGGAGATGACTCGAAATTCTGTCGAAATGCTATCTGAATCGGTTTGCTATATGAAATGAAGTACAGTAGGCCTACTATAGACGATTTAGATTGGTAATTTGTAATAAAAATTACCAAAATAGGCCAGGAACTATTGATACATAAACAACGTTCAAAGTGTTTGAACAATTCATGATGATTTGCTGAATAAATGTTTTACTAAAATGCGTTATAGTTTTCTTAGCATAACATTTTGGAATCCAGACAGAAAAAGCAAAAATTATACAGTTAAGACATCAATTAAATTGAATAGGCCTACGCCTGTAATAAATAAGGTGCAACACCAACGATAACTAATTTGTAAATTACTGTGATGTGTTGGTACGTAAAAATGATTCTTGCTGCTACTAAAGGTTAAAAGGAAAAGAACCAGTACCGTACCAAAAACCAACGTTTACAGTTAAGAACTGTAGTACAGCCGACCAATTATATGCGTTAATCAAGGTTATTGATCTCTTGGTTTTGGATTTTCTCGTAAAAAGTTATCGGTAATCAAAGTTATTTCCCATTAATTGCTTTATTTGTACACAACTCTTAATGTAAACTTATCGGTGTCAGTTTGAAAAAAAAACCTTATACAACATAACTTTCTGTTATTTACCGGTAATAGATTACGTATTCTCTAAACAATGGTTGCTGGTATATATATTAACATTATAAGGAAATGTGACAAAAATCACACAACGTTGGGTTTTTGGACGTTTATAATTTTATTTCTTAAGTACCTAGGTAGGCCGTGTATTCTATGGAAAAGTACCGGTATCAAGGATCGTTGTCGAAAGGGTTGTTATAAATAATTGGGTAAGCATACGTACCACACGTACCCAAGAGAAGGGCTATGGGCCTATTGGCTGTATGGTCCAGCGATTGCATCACACGGTGAGTAGGAACTATTGACTTTATATAGTCAATGGTAGGAACAGAAAGTGACACATTGGAAAATCGAGTTCAGCATCATCCGTAAACCTCTGTTACAATCACCCACTGCAGTTGTAATTTTGTGCTTTACACTTTACACAACCGCCATTGAAGAGCCGTCAATGAGTGGAACATTGTTTCTAAGCTATTGGCGACGGTCATTAGTAAATTTAAGTTTCCCAGCCGTATACAACACTGATTCAATCTTGATTCAATGTCTTCTTTCTGGTTATCAAAACTCCAAAACAATTTTATACACATATTTCTGGTTCCTGACCTGGATGTGGATGATGCCTAGTTATTTAATTTACGGTTACACTATATTATTCCACTTGCGATTAATTAAATCCTTTATGTAATAAAAACGTAATCTCACTTGAATGGGATTTGCCTTCAAAACGTGATCGGAAATGGTTGTGGTGTTTGTAAACAACATTTGTAAACATTTCAGTGACAGCTAGAAAAAATAATCTTGATCCGAACAGCTGTTCGTTGTTTCATAGATGATTATGTGATACAAATTGGAAGAAAACTTGACTAAAATCGCACAAAACTGCATTTTTGAACGGCCGTAATTTTAATTACAAAGTAGTGAGACCATATTTTAATGGCTAAAGACACTCTCGCCAATCCAGTGAATACATTAAAATGACTTGGGTCTTGATAGGTACTCTCGTTTTCCTGGAGAAGATTGCGTAAAATGCCATCTTGAGTGTGTCAGACAGACAGACAGACAGACAGACAGAAATTTAGATGAGACTTGTTTCGGCTTCTTTAATGTATAAAACGTAAAAATAACCTAAAAATGTATGATTCTGAGCAATGTACAGACAAAACTCTAATTTTATTTATATAGATTGCAATTGTCTAGGCAGACCGAGCTGAATCAAGCTGAATGAATCTTGTTTCAACAAACTCTATTTAAAAACTAATTCTCTTTGTCTGTGACTAAACCAATGTTTACAAAAACCATCTGACAACAAAACATATTCAAACACAAATAAATCATATGACAAAAAGAACAGACATAGCGAAAAAAAAACAAAGTAAACCCAAACAAACAAAAGGAAAAGCCTGAGAGGAAAACACGAAAAGTCCTGATGGATACGTCCTGCAGGATGGAAAAAAAGGAATAACAAGTCCTGATGGATACGTCCTGCAGGATGGAAGAAAAGGAATAACAAGTCCTGATGGATACGTCCTGCAGGATGGAAGAAAAGGAATAACAAGTCCTGATAGATACGTCCTGCAGGATCTGCATGGAAGAAAAGGAATAACAGGAGAAAGGAGAGTGGAGAGATGTAGAGGGAGGGAGGGAGAGCGAAGATTGTGCTTCACAGTCGCAAGTCGTCCTTGCAGCTATCAGGTGAGTCAAGTTGGCATTGTTGTTTTTAAACTATGTTTTACCGTACTTCCGCCATGCTATGTGTTAGTATATTTTAGACATTTTTGCTACATAAATTAATCTTAGGAAGTTGTCCTTAATAAATTGGTTTTCTTTCACATCAGTGAAATCCAATTGAGCGGAGCGATCACGTTTCATGGTTTTTAAAAACACAAAAAAATAAAACAATGTTTATAGGTATAATACAACTATTGCATCAATTTAACTCATCAGTCTCAGAACTATCAACATCTATAACGTTTCATAAGTAAAGATGTGGACATTTCATACATGCTTTGTATCAGTATTTTTAAGTATTTTTTCTATCTTTGCTAGGTAATGTCATCTGGTGAACCAACAGTTCTAGTTAAACTAGACCAATCTTCATTTTCTCAACCTTGGCCAGATTTGGCAATTCAGGCAGAAATTAAATAATCCTGCATGGATCCATATTTAGCAGATGTAACTTTTTAAAGACTTGTCGGCTTTGAGAGAATTTTACGAATAGTTTTCTCTATACCTTAAATTTTGTACATTTAACACATGAAAAGAATCGTTTTCAAGCAAGCCAAAAATCGTTTTCAAGATTATTGGCCTACGTTCAATAATCTCAAAACTTTGTTAGAACTAGAAGTAGTTGTTCGTGCGTTTCGGGAGTTAATTGATCGTCTTAATTTCAAACAGATATTATGCAGTTTTTGAGAATGCATTCTAAAATTTTCCTTAATGTAACACTCTTATGCGGATTAGGTATTTTCTTGTAAAAAGATAACGCGAAAACTACTTTAGGCTTACTTATTCGGGCAATTATAAAGGCCTACCCCAAGTAGTTGCCAACACGTGCTGATCAATACAACATGACTATCAAGTGTGTTGCCAACACGATATTGTCATATAAAGTATTTCAAACTTTACAATAGGTTGGGAAGTATAGAATGCGTTGTTTAAATTCAGTGGTAGACCACGTGTTTTGTTGATTATAGCAAACTTACATAACACGAGAGCTCGCCCCTTGGTCAAAAATCAGCTGTTGTAAATAGTTGTAAGTAGTTCACCACACTGCCCGCCACCACTTAGTGACTTTTTAGCCCTCGCTCATTTTCCAAAAACTTGGCCTCGGGTCAAAAAGACTCACTTTAGGCCCTAGTGATGAAATATACTATTTCGTGCTTATTTTTAGTTTATTTTAATTTATAAAGGGATTCTGAACATCTACAGGATAATATCTTTCATTTGGTACCAACCGCGTGTAATTCGGTCCAGTAATTTAATATACTGTATAAGATTAATTTAACCATATGCTTTATTAGAGTTAAAAAGCGTATTAAATAGTTTGTTTATCTCTCATTTTTCATAAGATCAATATTATATATTTGTTATCAAACACATGTGAATAGGCTACATTTAGTAAACTTTGGCACACTCAAATGTTTACGCATAAAATTTCACAATAGGATAAGAAGTGTACTTGTACTGTTTAAAGTAAATAATAAGACCGCATCTTCATAATAGCCTATATTGAGATAAAAATATTGATTTGATAATATCAAAGATAATCTAGTTATTTAATACTGATTATTATTCATGTAGTTGTTTTCATTCCAAATGACATAACATACAATTTATCTTTATCTTACAAATTACATTTAATATTATTTGTTATAACCTAATTTAGATTACATAAATAAAATCTGTAAAATACTGTACCTATTCTATCAGTGGTACTTTTCAAATAACGTGTAATACTTTCTCTGTATTATTTGATCAATGGTCATCACCCGTTGCACTGTGTTTAGGTTGTATATTGGCTTGATTTTAAATACAGTATATGCTATGATTCTTTGTTTTGTTTACATTTACGTTGTTATTTTGTAACCATCATGACAACCTATAAGGCCAGTGTTAAAATTTAAAACTTCGAATTATTACTTTAAAACTATATAGGCCTTATCAAAAATTGAAATTGGTTTCGTCTAAACCTTCCAAACATTTGTCAAAACAACTTTGGTAAGTTTGGCTGAAATATGTTCAGCCGTTATTGAGTTAGTGTTAGCAAGTTTGCTACGCTCCGCTCCGCTCAATAATGGGTGCTCAAAAGAAAATATCAGTAGTGCCTGAAAAGATTAATCACTTCCATAGCATGGCTACGCAAATAAAAATGGCACAATCATGCAATTTCAGATCAGATCAGTACATTGCTTTACAATCACAGTTCACGTTTTTGGCGGATTACGTAAAAAGTATTAGCTTTTATGATTTTTTTTCATGGAGAAATGTATGCATGATATCGAGTGTTAATAATTCCATTTATTGGAGAGGTGAGAAAATCCACTTTAATGTTAGTACATTCCGCTTGGTGAAAACATCATAGACACTGTAGACCTGCAACTGTTTAGGGCCTTAGGCAAAAAAAAAAACACCTACAAATTTTTCAACGTTAAACCACCGTTGAAAAGTTAGCTTTTACTTTGGATGTTGAGGTTTAGCTCTAATTGCACCGTACTATATGTCACTGATTAAAGCTAAATAAATTTTATTTTACACAGACTGTCTTGTACAGTGTTAACTTCGTAACTGAAATAACTAAATCTCAATGGCAGTTTTGTCATTTGACTCATCACATGAATTCTGAACAACTTGGTACTCATGTAATGTTACATGTCATTCATTCATCATTAATATTAATTTCTCTATTATTTTATGTGTTTTCTCATATAATGTTTGTTAATGTTCCTAATAATGTGTTATCAGTTATTTAAAATGTTTCTCCTTGTTAATCTATGTAATTAATACGCCAACACGAAATTTGTCTTTTGAACACCTCCACCATTTCTGATTTTGACCATTGACGTCTCATTGGAAAGAGCGTGTCGCGTGGATTTGTAAAACCGCTATCTATATATCTAATTCTGTAAGCCCAAAATTTTACAATGAAATTGTGAGTGAACGGGAGGCCGTAGAAAGCTGGGAGAGGTCTCATTTTAAAGGTCTGGGCATGAAATTTTGGGGAAAATTAGCCATTTTCCTTAATTATGCACCAAAAGGTTATTACGGAATAAATTAATTCTCATTTAAATAGCATGGGAATCCAAGGTCATGTCTGCTTTGTTTACTTTAAAACATGTGGTTTAACATTATTTAAAGCATATGGTAATTTGTAATATGTACTGTAATATGTATACTACTGTATTATAAAGCTGAAATAGACTTTTTTACAATTTTAAGGATCTGAATCAGTTAGTTAATGGAGTACGATTGGTTGTGTTAAGTATGTCTGAAAAAAGTTAGAAGGAATTACTGGAGTAGGCAAAGGGAACATATTTTTGATGCCAAAATAAAACTAATATCTACAGATGCTAATATATGCCGTTTAAGTTTACAAGGATTCAATTCCCATTGTGATTAGCTCTCGCTATTCTATATAAAGCGCAAGGCCAAACCTTCACAAAAGTTGGCATTTATTTGGAAAAAAACCAATGTTTACCCAGTGGCCAGCTTTATGTTGCTTTTAGCCGGGTAAAGCGGCCAGATGATGTTAAAATACTACCAAATAAAGACCAAGGAATCTACTTTAATATGGATACTGTAAAACAGAGAGTGTTTGCATTTTACAATTTGGAGGATGACATTATCTCTATGTGTTTTTTCGAAGTGAATTTGTCTATATTCAACGAAATTTATATGTATTTAATTAATAGTCATAAAGATTAATATTGAAAATGTTCTTTAGTTGTATTACGATTAGAAAGTTTAAATTATAAACACACCGCATAAACAGTCCTTTGGAATTTTTATTTTAAACAGAGCAGACATCAAAATGCTTAATGCAGCTATGTAATAACTATCATACATATTAGGCTATAATATATAAAAATGTTAAACAATTATTCAAGTTAGGGTAACCCATGAGACTAATAATTTGTACAAAATAATTACTAGAATATTATAGGGGCCAGTGCCCCTACAAGCCACTAGTTCTAAATTTAATTCTCAAATCTTATTTTATTACATTAAACTCAGTGAAATCATTTGGTATCTTTCTTTGGACATTGACATATTGCAATATCATAATAAACATAGCCTATTTCAGAGCAAAAATAAAATTACCGTTACCTAAATTATTTGTATTTTAATTAAAGCCTAATATACCATTCGAACCGGCACGACCACCCCTCCCTGAGATTAAAGAGCTTAAATTATATTTATTCATATGTTAATCACTTATAATTGAAGAAACAAACACATGTAACTATAGCCTAGAATCTTTTCGTCCGCTTTTGGAAGCCCCGCCATTTTGTAAGTTAGGGTACCATTGTTAATCCTATAGAATTAAACCAGCATATTTGTAATTCTCTTAATAGATCTTACCTATTTATTCTTAAAGTAATTAATCTATTATAGGATTAAAATTAAGACTTAGCTCATCAGACAAATAAACAAAACATAAGATAGGAAGGATCTTTATTAAGAAAGAGAGTTCAATGTGGACTAAGTTAACAGCCAAAGGAATTTTGTAAATCTCTTAAAGAGCTCGCCAACAATAATAAATAGGCCTATACATATAGAAAGCTTACCTGTGTGTATCACTAGAAATAGTTAATCGTATATATCAACGCAGTTTAATCGTGTTTTAGCCCTTTGGATATCAACATAATTCATTGATTTATTTATTTCCTGGCATCGTACTTCTATCGCAAAAAAACAACTGGACTTTGATCGTATTTCTATCTCATTACGTTTGGAAACTAGAGGTGTATATGACGAGGGCATTGAATTTGAAACTATTTTGTACAGTATAACAAGCAGCCACTATAATGAATTACTGGCTTATAGTGGTTTGATACAACATTATTGATATGGCATAATAAATTAAGGTTGATTTAGGATCATCAACTTCTGCCTCGTAAAGTTATATTTATCTAGATTAACAATCAAATGGCAATGAAACAGGTAGAATCAAAGTGAAAGTAAATGGCACCTAA